TCTCTACAGCTTGCCATTCCCTAAAAAGGTCATCACATTAAAGAAGTTTCTTCAGATCTGCCGCTCCCTTCACCTCAGTACCATGGTGGAGGATGCTGCTAATGAGCAGAGAAAAGGAACATCACAATTTGATCGTCTCTGCAAAATAAAGCCACTGTACATGGAGATGAGGGATGCCTGCAAAAGGAACTTTCACCCTGGCCAAGAAATTTCCATTGATGAGAGGATGGTTGCCTCAAAAGCACATATCGGGCTAAAACAGTACATGAAAAATAAGCCTGTTCGCTGGGGATATAAACGTTTTGTTCTTGCAGTCTCAAGCAATGGGTAGACTTGGGACTTCTTTGTATATGAAGGGAAGCTGCAAGGAAACAGCGGCAAGGGGCTACGGGGCAAGAGTCTGTGATGGAGCTTCTTGACACACACTTGCTTGGCACAGGCTACAAGTGGATTGTAGATAAACTTCCCATAAATCCTGATGTACTTGGTACATCATAAGAAGTATGGCGTCTATGCTAATATTAGTCTCTCTGTTTATCACGAGGTTTACCGCAGTCCACCGGATCCAGGCCGTATCCAGATCTGAGGAAGGACCAGCGCCTGGACACGACAACAACGCAGTCCTGAAGTGTCAACTAGTCTCTCCCCTGTGAAGGCCTCCTTCCTTTTACCTCTGTACAGATAAAACGTTGTCTGGAAAATTCCGGTTCGCGTGGCTACGCAAACGCGACAAAAAATGTATGTATTATACATTTTTAAGGCCAGACAAGTAGTTTGTTGAGGATTGATTTGTGAAGAAGGACTACACGTCTGCGCACATATATATTCAAACGTGCATACCTATCGACTGAACACGTGATGCGCATGTGCACGCCGTCTGCGTTTTTGCGGGTTTGCACACAGAAAGCACATAATCGTTTTCACCTTCGAACCTATTTCAGGAAGTGCGATTTCGAGACACCAGGCACTATTTTGTGCGGCCGGAGCGCGTTAGGGTTTTTTCTGTTAGAACGGTGTTGTGTTAGCGGCCCCTAACTTAATAACTAATGATCTTCGCAACGGAAGTGAATCAATCAAGACTATCTTTAGCTGGACAACAACTTTGTCCTAGAGCTGTGTTAAAGCCAAAACAATCTGTTACGGTAATTTCTATTATCACTGTAAAGCTGCTTTGAAACAATACATACTGTTAAAAGCGCTTTATAAATGAAGGTCACTTGACTTGTAGACCATTTCTACACCAGTCCCTCTCTTTTCTGTGACCTCCTTTAGGAGAGGATCTGGGCGTGCGGAACCACGCACAAACAGAATTGGTTTTCCAAAAACAAAAATAAATGTTCTAGACTCTAAATCTCCCCGTGGCAGTATAAGATGGATCCGAAAGGACTCCCTCCTCTTTGTCCACACAGCCCATGCGGGGGACACTGTTCAGAGGAGAGTCAGAGATCCAGATGGGCACTGGGTGTTGAAGGACATCTCTGTTCCACCAGCAGTGAAGGAGTACAACCTGTATGTATTATATAATCAACAATCTTTTATGCTATTTGAAATGAAATAAAATATTTCAATGTAGTTTTTTTATGTTCCAACAGGTGAGTGGACCTATCTGATGCCCTAATATAATAAGTAATAAGTTACTACAAGTCATCCACAAGACCCAGAAGTGGTATAAGAGATTTTTTTTTATCACTTCATGGACATTGCTGTTGTGAATGCCTTCCTTCTTCACAAGGACATCACTAAAGGTAAAGGAGAGCTACCAATGCACCAGATGGCCTTTAGGGAGACACTTGTTGAGGAGCTGGCAGACCTGCTCCATCACCCACTCCACGCACAGCACATCACAAGCCTGTGCATATCAGTGGACACAGCACTGCAGGTCATATGAGGTGCAGACACTGCCAGGCAAAGACACCAGTAAAGTGCTCCTCCTGTGATGTGCAGGGCTTAAAGTATTCCGGCACTGTGCCGGCTCTCCGGCGTGCGACGTGAGAAGAAAAAAAAAATTGGGAACTTGCATGCGGTTTAATATTTTCGACTCAATTGATTTCACCTACCAATCATATGAGAGGAACGCAGCTTGAACATAATACTTGAAAATAAATGGTGCCATTGAAGATAAGTCCGTCTGTGCAGTTTCTCTCAAAAACTGCAGTTTCTATCCGTCTGTGCAGTTTTATTATCTCCGTTACTTGTGTTTGTTTTCAGACATGATAACAGTAGTTTTATACTTGTGCTTATGCGATTTAATGATTTAATGTCTCCACAATCTGCTTTTGAAGAAATATGGTAGTATCGTGCTACAGCGCACATTCTATCAGCTGCAGTTCTGGCGCCTCAAGCTTGGTTTAAACTCGCCGCGTCCGCACGAGCGCGAAGGGCCCATTTCGCTTGGCGGTGTGGACGGCAGATTTTGTAACTGTGTGCGCAGCTCCGCATCTGGAGATGCACGACTTCGAACCGAATCTGGCCGAGCATATATGTCTCATCACATCGGGACACAGTTTGTGCGTCTAGTAGTTGCTTAAATTTACTAAATGAGCCTACAATAGCAGACATAAGCCCTTTTAATTATGGTCCATGTTTTAAAAAAAAAATTCTTAAAACTAAATGAAAATGTTTAGTGAAATTAGAAAATATGTCAATTAATATCGTTAATTTAGTTGTATAGGCTATGTTCTCAAATTCATTTATTTTGTTCTAATGTATGAGCCAGGCGAAAGTATAAACCAGGCTTAAGTCCCAATACTGTAAAACTCGACGTACATTCACATCACATGTTAATGCAGCGGTAGAGTTTCACTCACAGGACACTGCACTTATTCGCAATCACAAAAGTTCATTATTTGCTCGTACTTTAAAGCTTTGCCGGGTAAACATTTCATTGGCGTTCTGTTCTGACATGATGCACTTTTTCTGAGCGCGCACTGTCAAACAGTGCCATACTGGACTTTATCTTTTGTGTCTGATTTTTGTTGGGTCAGACCCATCTGCTAGCGATGGGGGGCTGAGACTGAGAGAGCTACATGGACAGTTATGCACCAAACAAGCCACTTTGAAATGTTGCTGTTTTCATGGATACAAAAGTTGGGTGATGCTCCCCTTAGACTAAAAAAAGTTGGATGACTCGCGAGAGTGAGTAGGGCTGTCGCGATAACCGCAATATTGCGGTACCGCGCTACTGACAGGCCAACCGCAGAGGAATGCAAGTAACCGCAGCAACCGCCAAACCGCGTTTTCTTTTTTCATAAGGCCACCCTTCGTAGTTCGTACCATGTGTATTGAATGTTAAATAAGTTAATAATGATAACAAGACTGTTTATCATGGTGATTTGTACAGAGGCTTCGTGGATTTGGACTTAAGCCTAAACAGACAGTGAATGGGATCGACTGAGCGCGTGCGATTAGCTGCGTCTGTCTTTGAAGTCAAGTCATGTATATTCGTGAAAAGGTTGCCGTTTCCAAGGAAAGTGAAATATTTGTCGTATCATCCTTTTAACGTGTAAGGGTAGGCTATTTTCCATGAATGGCGTCAGCGCTGGTCAGCATTACACAGCGCGAGGAAGCCGTGGGGGGAAAGCAGCGAGTCACGCATTGGTCTCTATTAAGTGAAGCATTGCTTCAGCTTTGCCCAAAAGTGAAGCATTGCTGGCCAGCTGAGCCTTGAAAAGTGGAGCTCAAAGTAAAAAAAAAAAAAATTAATGCCTTGTTTCATTACATCTATCATTTAAGGAATCAGCTTTTTTTAACGTTTTCATTGAATGAACGGTTTAATGACTCACTCAGTCTATGACTCAAAAGTCCATTGGCATAACAATGTAACTGCGCGCTGAGTGACAGTCTTTCAATGCGCAGAGACGCTGTTTAGTTTCGGTTACATTGGTCACATTGTTTTTGTGTATGCTGACCACATCATAACACGTATTTATAGCAACAAATAAATATAAATAAATAAATGGCGGTAATACCGCATATCGCGCTATTGAGCCACTCAAAATTACGGCAAGGGAAATTCCTTCACCGCGACAGCCCTAAGAGTGAGGAGAGCGATCATATAGTTGAGAGAGTTGTTAATAAAGAGAATATAACGGCAATAAAAGACTGGTTATTGAGACCAACAACACAACATAAATGGCGACGAGGATGGGTTAAAACCAGATCCACGAAAGGTTGAAGCAGTTTGTAACGCTCCCAGACCTTAAAATGTTGCACTTTTAAGTTCATTCCTAGGCACTTGTGGATTTTTGATGAGGTTTGTTCCCAATTATGCAAATCTGTCTGAGCCTCTCCGAAAACTGACCAGACAAGGACAAGAGTGGCAGTGGTCATCTGAAGCAGTAGTCATTGCTGATATAACTTCCAAGACCGTTAACCAAGGAAATTATGAAAATATTTGCCCGATTTGGGTATCCCTTGGAAGTAGTGACTGGCAACGGGAAGCAGTTTGTAGGAAACGTCTTCGAGGCATTTCTGAGAACTAGTGGAGTTAAACACATCATCAAGGCTTCACCTTACTACCCCAAAAGTAATGGTAAAATAGAAAGATTTCATCGTTATTTGAAGAAAGCCTTCAAAGCAGCTAAAAGTGAGGGAAGGAATTGCCACAGAGTTCTTTTGTTACAGTACCAGACACCTGTAGCAAGCCTTTGACTACTCGGAGTGGTAGAGTGGTTAAGAAACCTGCTCGTTTCAAGGACATGATTGTGTAAATTTGTAAGTTTGTAGTCTATATCTAAACTTCACAGGTAACAGCAAAAAAGGTTTTTGAAGACCAAGTTTTTGGTGGGAAACTTGTTCATTCACTCATTCATTAAATGTTAAGACAAAAGAAGAAATATTGTTTTAAATAATACTTAAGTACGCAATTTAATTTTATGAATTTATTTTTATTAATATCAGCAGCACAAAAAAAGCCCCCCCCCCCCTCTCCCCTCTCCATGCAATGAGGTGTTACAATCAGCATGTAGATGAGCTGCATCCTCTCATTACCAACACTACAGTTTCCAATACCAACATTTTAATTGTATTCTTTTACCATTTTTTTTTGTATCAATTATGGCACCATGATATTAAGCACTACAACAGATATGCAATTAAAATGTCTTTAATTATGAAAATAACAACAGCGCAGTAGACGGTTAAAGTAGCTTGACTGTGCTGACAAAATAACAGCGCTGATTCCAAATATCTCCCTGTAAAATGTGTGTGTCAGGTCCTCTTTGTCTCTGGATACAAAAAAACACAAAACAGAACACTGAGTTTGCTGTTAAGACAAAACACAATGTTGTAATGCTGTTTTAATGGTGATAAAAATAAACCAACCTACTAACAGCTGCGCCATGGTTCGGAGCTGCTACATATTTTGTGTGGCACTGCATGAGCTCAACAGCACGTCTCCGGTGGAAGAGTAAGTACTCAGGTCCTCTGCTCTGTAAAGAGATTCAGGTCTGCAAACACACACACACACACACAAATAAACATAAGAGCTGACACATTACACATTTTTACTGCTATAAACCCAGAGATAATGTAACGTTTATGCAAGTAAATTTAGAAAGAAGTTTAGGCAAGTGGAGAAACTTTCCAGTGCAGAAATAATAGGTTCAATAAGTGTTAGAAATAGTGACCTCCTAAGATAAAGGTTGGAGATGCAGCCCTCAAAGGTGTTCTTGCCCAGGAGTACGCTAGAGGAATACCGGCCAGACGAAGGGTCCCTCTCTCTCTGTCCAACATCCTCTTCATCAATACGAAGTTCAAGTCTAAAACAAAGGTGAACATTAATATATATATATATATAAAAGATAAGGCTTAAGGTTTAAGAGATTCATGTTTATCAGTATCTACTGTATAGCTACACAGGAACCATTCATTTGGCTATCGTCACACTTCTCATAGCAGAGGTGTCAAAATATAATTTATAGAACGCAGACCCTCCTTACAAAAGTTACAATAGCTAGGTTTCCACACCGATTTTGGTATATCACAAAAATTGATGTCAAAACCAAATGAATCTTACCGTTGACCCTGTCCGAAAACAGTGAGATAATGCCATTCACCATCCTGGTACTGTTTAGTAGATTTCCACATGTTGCCTTGGAATTTCAGGACCACATATCCTTTCTCCATGGAAAGTTCAATGTTGTTATTCTACCACAGAAAAATCACAGTGGCAATGTTAAATTCACACTGAGAAGTTCTGTGTGATTTAATACAGTTTGTAAATTGCAAATAAAAAGTAAGACCGATTGCCCAGTTAGGCTGACTAGTTCTTAAGACACACAATGGCTTGGTTTCTGCAACTGGCCAAAGTTTTGTTCGTGTCAGATTTAGTGCCGCAGCTTTCGGAGAACGAATCAAATGCTAAGCCATTCTGAAATTCATGTGAATTTTTTGGATATAAAATCATAATTAATTGTATGACGTAGCATAAATTACTTGAATAGCCAAAACCATTAATCAGAAGAGTGTACACATGCATTTGACCCTATAGTGTGTGTAATTGTGGAAGGGATGTACATTTTTGCTGTTCTGCAGCAGGACACCGTCTGGTTTTGTACTCTTGAAGCCCAGTGAAAGGTTCACATCGTCTAAGCTGAAGTCTTCACGGAGTCTCTCCAATGCACTGCCTAGGCTGAACTCAGCTTTCCTGATCATCTGGAAAAGAGCATGATGGTTAAGAAATTATACCTTTCTGTGTTTCATTTGCCCATTTGGGTAATATTGACCCAAATCAAACAAGCGTATCTCATTTAAATGCACAATGCAAATAATAAAATATGAACTTGATTACCAGTAAGTCATCAGAGCAGCCTCTGCCAATCCCCACTTTCTCCAGAACGTCTGGCACTATATTACCAGCAGTGCCGATTTTCACACACCCTTGCAGAGGAGGGATAGTGATATTGTATCTAGAGTACAATAATTCAGAATTAGTAAACCATCATATGATTGCTTAGAAAAGGTCTGAATCACTCGGTTAATCACAACAGGTTAAAGGGAAGACAGGGAGACACCGACCTCTCACGCAAAACATTAGGTATGCCACCGATGTAGAAGTGCTTGAACTTTTGTGGAATGACATCCGTCCTTTTGACCTCGGTCTCCCCTATTCGGACCTTAAACTCTTTCCCTGCAATAATGTAGACTTTCACGTCTATCACCTGAAATACGGAAGAAAAAAGGGCAAGTTCATTTTTCACTGCCATGATTATGATGCACAGTATCTTAGAGGAAAAAGTCAGCCTCATTCTTCCTTACCGGAAAAAGGCTTGGTTTATCTCCACTTATGACGGGCTCAAAAATAGTATCTTTGTCCCGGCCACGTAGAACAATGTAACCTCTCTCAAGAGAGACAGTGTAGTAAAAGTCCTGATAGGGTATGAAGAAAAGGTCTCAAAACGGTATAAAAAACACAACAGAAAAAGGTTCAATAGGTGTGAACAAATTCTTACATCTTTCTCATCTCCTAAATACAGCAAAAGAGCATCCTTAGCTCGGGTTTGTACTTTCTGCTGGATCAGTAGATTGTTGATGAATCTTTCAAGCAGGACTTTGGCATAACCAGTGCCTTGAAAGTAATCGGACTCTGACAGTGTGAGTTGTCTGAGCAAACAAAAAGAGAAGCAGAGTTTTTTTGTTCATTTTTATAAAGTGCTGCATGCTGTACATGCAAATGTAGTGATGGGATTAACATGATTGGTGTTATTGTTAATATATTATTAATACATAAGCATCAAACCATTCACACGTTGAGAGCTTACCTCTTGCAAGGGGTTTCTGTGTTGATATTAACCGCATTCTTAAAGTTGTACAGACTGACAAATCTGTCATTAAAGGTGGAGAACTCAATGCAGCCATTGTATTTGCCATAGTTGAGTGAGACTGGTGGCTAAAAAAGGCAAAGACAAATGGACTTAATAAATAAGTATGTATTAAAAATGAACCAAGAATTAGAGAGCTCATCACACAAAATCCATCGACACTAGGAGAAAAAAAGGCATATTTACTGTGAAGTCATCTGGATAACCTCCTACATAGAAGACCACATTATCTGGACTGAGATCCAGCAGGTTACGCGTCAGCTGTCCCAGCTTTCCCTTCGTCTGCGCAGGCTTCGGATTGATGGATGTGAACTGCTGTGTGTGAACGACTTGTGCATCTTGATAAATTCTAGGTGGGCAACAAATAAAAAAAGAGGCGCATATAGTAGATAAAAAATAATGTAAAAAATAAACCTGTACAATAAGGTTCCACTTGTAAACATTAGTTAACTACTTTAGTAAAAATTTACTATATAATAGTCATATAATAGTCAATGTTAATTTCAACATTTAGGCTACTAATACATTATTAAAATCAAAAATATACCTGTTAATATTATGTAATGGACCATGAACTAACAATGAACAGTTGTATTTTATCAACTGAAGGCCTGTTCACACCGGGACGAATTTTGCGCTCGATATTCGCCGACGTTTAACGCCTCGTGACTAAACAAAGGGCGCCAATGTGAGTGTGCACACCGACACGAAAAACGCCACGCGTAAAAGCGTCATTTAAAAAAAAAAACGCCTCGGGTTCGTTTTTTTAGTTTGACGCGCTGCGTCAAAAATTATCCGACCAATGAGATTGGCGCTTTTGCTCACGTGTCTGGAGCTTCTGAAGTTACAGTAAAACACAACTTGGGGGCGCTCAAACACAAAACGGTCTTGCCGAGCACACATACGTAACGGCGAAGAAGATATACGCCAAGTAGCGTCTACACTGCCGGGAAGAAATAAGACGAGGAAGATGCAAGGCAAGATGAATGTAGAGCTGCTGGTCTCGTTGGTGTCGGAACGTAAAGAACTATATGACAAACGCGACAGCGACTACAAAATAGGACTATTTCTGTTTTACATTAAGCGCCATCTAATGTCAGGGAATTAATTTGCATGTTCACTCGGCTCATCGTCAGCGAAAATCGCTTGGGTGTGAACACAAAAAACGCGTTGAAAAACACTGACGAATAACGCGCGCCGATATTCGTCCCGGTGTGTACGGGGCTTTACATTAACAAAGATGAATAAATACTGTAACAAATTAACTTTTTATTGTTAGTTAATGCTTATTAACTAATGGGACCCCATTGACTTATCAAGTGTTACCAATATAATGCAAGTACAACATTTCAGCTGTAATGGTATTTTTAGTTGTAACTTGTATAAACACATGGCATGTGAAACATATGAACATATGAAAGGACAAATCAACATATTTTATTTCTTTAAATAGACACAAAACTAGAGCATACTTAATGGCAGCTATTTGTGACCCAACATCAAACTCATGTGTTTGCATATAAATGAATGATCGTTCAAAACTCATAATTATGCATTCAGCACAATGCTATGATTGTATTGGATTTTTTTTGGAGATGCATGAGTAAAACCTGATAGACACTGTAGGAGATAATAAAAGATACATCTTGGGTCCCCCAAGAACTAAATTTTCCCCTATGGCTATTTTCCTGGTTGCATTCGCACCGCTAGTAGGAACTGAAGTGACGCAAGCTTGCCGACAACGAGGTCATTTAAACGTGGCATTCAACACCTGGAGGATGTAGGACACCATGATCGGAGTTGTGTTTTTGATGTGTGTCGTGGGTTTAATAATAAACGACAATGGAATGCGATTGAAAGAGCAAAAAGGAGGGCTAAGAGACGAAATCTCACAGTGCTACATATCATCGAGGCTGAGAAAGGAACACAATGCCACAGACAAAGGAGACCGGTGAATGCAGTTAACATTAGCTTTCTTTATATTTCTGTGCCGACAACTGTCTGTATGTTAGTTTGGGGAGTAAGAAAACTGTGTTTACGGACAAAAACGGTGTTTCCTATGGCATGCTTTCGGCCAATCAGCATACACTTACCTCCTTTGTAGTTCCTTCCTATACGCTGATTTCACGCAGCCGCCATTTTGAAATCGAAAGCGTGGCTCCGGTGGGAAGAACCCCGGAAGTACAGATAGACAACATTGGACTAGGACTACCAACCTGAAGCTGCTGCCGCGATTTACACTATTGGATGTTAATATCCAATATAGGATATGTCTATAGTTCGTTCCTGCTTCTTTTTTTACATTCTGAATTATATATATATAAAAAAAAAAATATTATAAATGAATTTCACTGTATATAGTCTAAAGTATGAAAGAAATGTATGTACATTTTTAGAATAACTAATTTCTATATTAAACACAACAATACGCCATCGCATTCGCGACTCTCCTATGATTAAAGGTGACACTTCCGGTTTTCTTCCCACCGGAGACATTTCAAAATGGCGGCTGCGTGAAATCAGCGTATTGCGCTGGGTTAGACCCGACTCTAAAGTAGGAGCTAAATTAGTTCCTCCAAAAGGCGTTCCTAGAACTAAAATCCTTCCCAGGTCCTGTGGTGCAAACACGCCAAAAATGGGCACTTCCGCCAATAGTTACAGGAACTATGAAAGCGTTCCTCTGGTGCGGAAGCCCATTTACATCCTGACCTTTAAAAAGTACTTTATTTTTTTCAAACTTAGTACAAATATGTTGTACTGGACGTGCTAATACTGCAGCGATTTTTTACAGCATCAAAATGTCTCACTCTGCAATACTACAAAAAAACTGAAGATTTATAGACAGTAATAAAATCGACAGCTTTCAGGAACTAACGTGGCTACACTGGGATTGAGTCACACCGTTGACTGGATTCAAACCAAACCACATGAATAATAGTTTCTGCCTAAAAGAAACAAACAGAATATACACCAATAGTTCTTTTTTATTTGGTACCGCATGTTACTATACCTGTAAAGGTCGATTTTGTCAAAGAAAGCCAGGCTAGATGAGGACTCGGTGATCTTGGTTGTCTCGACATCATACTCCTCTCCGTTGAGCTTATAAATGACATGCAGGGTATTATCTCGAAGAGCCATGCCGATGAAGTCTCCGGATGCCTGTGAGAACGTTCAGTTAATGCAGTAATGAGAGTAACAATTGAGCTAAAATGAGCTTGTATCCGCACACAATTGACAGGACAGGTAATCACACTCACGTCTTTTTTCCCGAGGTATAGCACAAACAGATCATCTTCACCCTTCTGGGTCTGGCGACGCCGACGCCTGGTGCCGTCCCCTCGAACGGGGGGTTTCTCGGGTCTCTGGAGGGAAAGGGTGAGAGAGGTGTATGCCCGCAGGTCATCCAAATCTCTCGGGGGACGCATCTCCACATATCCATTACCAGAGAATTTCATAGGGACGACAATCTGCAACAGATTTAAAACATGAAGAGGACCATGCAACATTATGCAAAAGCTTTCAATGGAAAAAGAGTTATGGGTCATGAAAACTAGACCGGTCTTATAACCTTTAGACAGTACAACCTTTCTTAACAGACATCCTCCTTATCATTTGTGTCAAATTACATTAGATGTATTATTATCTACCCTGACAATAGTGAAAAATCCTTTATCATACTGAACAACTCTCCATGAGTTGGTAAACCACATGAGGTTTTCCTGATGTATTGCTGAAGGCAGCTGAAATTCAGGGAGATTAAACTCTTGTCCTGTATCACTTTCTGAACCATTGAAGAAATAACTGCATTTATAGAGCAAATCAAGGTTCAATTTTAAAAAGAGTGTATATAAGCTAAGGGGAAAAAATAAAATGACAGCATTTTCGTTTCAATCTATTTATCTTGTCATTTGGTAACACTTTATTTCGATGCTCCCCAACATACATTCTACTGACAACAAGTAACTTTGTTACTACATGTCAACTATCAGTTAGGGATGCACGATATATCGGTATGGTCGATATACGTTCATTTTTAATGTTATCGGCACGATAAGAAAATTTTACCAATATATTAAAGCTGATAAATAATGGATTTTCCTTCAGCTGCGCACTGTTGGTCATGATGGTTTTGAATTGCTTGAAATATGATTTGGAATCGCTTCAAAAGTGCAACATGTGCAACGCAAGTCTGTCAAATAGACTACTAATGAGAACATTATAGTTGTGTGCTTGGGACAGGGCTTTTAATAGTGAGACTTTTCTTTTTGTAATGAGGCTCCAAAAAATTATATAAAAATTCAGATTTAGATTTATCGGACAATATCGGTTTATCGGCTTTTTCAAATATAAAGAATTATCGGTTATCGGCCAAAATTTTCATATCGGTGCATCCCTACTTTCAGTCGTTAGAGTATTAGTAGACCGTCTGCTTCAAGTCTAAAGAATTTCTCGACTAATTAAATTCAAACGTGGTTGGAAAATACTGCAGCCTATTTTATGCAATGTTCTATTTCAATGTGTAGGATATAAAAAGAAATAGTCTTACTCTGTTAGCAGCCTCACGCGCTTGCTCAATCAGTTCCTTTATCTTATTGATATTTTCAGACACATTGTTCCCGGAGCCAATCTGAGAATTCAACTCTTCTATTTTATCCAGCAGGGACGGGACGGAGCCGCTCAGGTTTTTGACTGTCAGATGGAAAGCGGGGAGAAAGTGAGAAAACAATACAAAAGCTGGTGAAGAAAATGATTAAAAACAACACCTACAGCCCATTAAAGGCGCAGCACTTACCAGTCATTTCCACATTATTGAGAACACTGTCAATATTTGAAACTGAAGGACTAATAGAGATGTTGGTAACTTCCGCTTTGATGTCATTAAGCTGGTCCATTGTGTCACTTGTGCTGCGATTGGCTGCTGCCGCCGCTTTCTTCGCCGCGTCGATGATCTTACCAATGTCATCTGTGATCAGACAGAATGAAAACATATTTGCAAGCATATTCGTATTCAACCCTAAAAGTCTAAAAAGCTCTAAGTTGACAGCTAAGCTGCGTCCATTGATCAGACTAAAGCCCAATTTATACTTCTGCGTCGACCTCCCGCCGTAGCTACGTCGTGTACCCTTCGGCGTACCCTGACGTGCACCTCTCCAAAAATGTAACAACGCGTCAATTGTACGCGTACCGCAAGCGCTGTGATTGGTCCGCTAGAACCGCTCCCCGGGTTTCACATGCTCCCTCTGCATGCGTAATTGCGCGTCAGGGCGGACAACGACGCAGAAGTATAAATGAAAACCAACGCGTAGTCTGTAGCTTAGAGGCTCCGGCGTAGGTCCGACGCAGAAGTATAAATCAGCCTTAAGGCCTGTTCACACCGGGACGAATTTTCCGCGCGATATTCGCCGACGTTTAACGCCTCGTGACTAAACAAAGGGCGCCAATGTGAGTGTGCACACCGACACGAAAAACGGCACGCGTAAAAGCGGCATTTTTTTAAAAACGCCTCGGGTTCGTTTTTTTAGTTTGACGCGCCGCGTCAAAAACTATCCGACCAATGAGATTGGCGCTTTTGCTCACGTGTCTGAAGTAACAGTAAAACACAACTTGGGGGCGCTCAAACACAAAACGGTCTTGCCGAGCACACATACGCAACGGCGAAGAAGATATACGCCAAGTAGCGTCTACAGTGCCGGGAAGAAATAAGACGAGGAAGATGCAAGGCAAGATGAATGTAGAGCTGCTGGTCTCGTTGCTGTCGGAACGTAAAGAACTATATGACAAACGCGACAGCGACTACAAAAATCTTGATAAAAGAGAATGTTATGGAGTGGTATTGCAGAGCAAATGGGCGCCATCTAATGTCAGGGAATGAATTTGCATGTTCACTCGGCTCATCGTCAGCGAAAATCGCTTGGGTGTGAACACAAAAAACGCTGCCGAATAACGCGCGCCGATATTCGTCCCGGTGTGTACGAACGAGCCTTTAAGGTGGGGTGCATTTCCCGAAAGCATCGTTAGCCAACTACGGTCGCAAGTTCCGTCGTTATCAGCATAGTTCAACGAGTCGGTATTTCCCGAAACCATCGTTCCAACGAACATTCGCAAACAGCATCGCAGAGTTGTGTGTTTGGAGTGACAGATCTCGAGCTGTGGTTAGAAGCAGAGTTTCTAAATTGCATGACATGTGGACTTAATAAATCCTTATCTTGAGCAAAATAAGCAAGCTGACATTCAGTACAACCTGTGTCTTCTATGTAGAATACATATAAAAATGTCATTTACATATTTGAGTTTGTCAAGAGATTTAAAGCACCGTTTTTGAAGACTGCGCATGTACAAACGTGCTCGAGTGCGTAAGAACGAGCCTATGATTGAATCTGGAAATAAAGCGAAATAACTGAGAAAATTGAGAAATAATCCTCAGACGCCATGTCTGTAATTTATATCAAAACAGCATTAACTCGATCTCAAACAGTTTCATTAAAAGAAGTGATTACTCCACCACGTGCGTGACGTCATAAACCAACGTGGCTGAACGACCACTTTGCGACAATATGGTTTTGGGAACAACTAGCTAGTTGTTTTCTTCAACGATGCATCGTACTACACTAGTGAAGCAGCGAGTTACGTCGCTGTACGGGAAACGCACCCCTGGGTTTGGACTAGTTGTCCATTTTTTTCCCAGCAAAGAAAACTAAATAAGATACAATGAGTAAAAATCAAACATGCCAGCACCCGTCCTTTCATAAAGCCTCTGTAAACAAACTTCTCAGTGAACTCCGCGACCAAAAGCATCGGGTTATATGAAGCTGTCTCGTGTAAGGAATGGGCTTAATTGTTTCAAACAGTGCTCTTTTCTTACCTCGCTGAATCCCTCTCAACCCATCCTGAGCTGTGAGCAGCTCCTTCTCTAGTGCTTTCTTTTTCTGCTCAGCGTCTTGCAAACGGTCCCTCTGATTATTGAGGTCTTTGGTTGCTCCTGAGAAAGACGTAATAACAGTTTTTTAAGCAACCAATGATTGATCAAATGAAATCAAGTTCGATATGTAGATTGATCTTTGTAGTTAAGTTTTTATTTTAAATTCACACGTGTCACCTTTTAGATCTTTAGCTGCGTTTTTGGCATCTTTAAGTAGGTTAGTGCCATTGTTTTTCAGAGTTTTTGCCCTGTTTATTAAGTCCCCTTGACTGACATCCTGAAAAGAAAAATCAACAAAAGTCACACTTAAAAAATGTATTACAAAATATCGAAATTAAGTCAGTTCACATAGATGTAATTGATCACATTATGGACATGTTCAGCTATCTATTCACAAGTTATTTTTTTGTCATTTTACAACACTATATCTTTTGTTTCAAGCATTTTTAACTTAGGGTACATTTACAAGACAACAATGTTTTTTTTACGTTTTTCATGTACAGACGACAATGTTGTCAAAACGATCCCCATTCACAGAATTCGCAAAACAACTAAAAACGCTGTATTCTGCTGCCCGGCCAGTAGTTGGCGATGTCACGTTGTAAAGAAACGCTACGCGTCTATAGACTGAACACGTAATACACATACATTGCTTTTTAAGGCACCCAAAACACTGTTGTCGTGTAAATGAACAGCCAAAATGTTAACGGTCCCTTAAAGTCCCCCTGTGGTGAAAATCCAGCTTTTAATGTTGTTTATATGTCTATGTGGTGTTTTTAATATGCTTTAAGACAAACCATGTGTAAATTCATAAGTCGACAGCATTGCTGAGTATTTTCTCCTTAAAACTGCAGTGAACCAAAGACAGTCTCAAAAACACGGTTTGAAATCGCTGGTGTTTCTGACGTCACAAACGACCTTGTAACCAATCAGATCAACGTGTGATCGTCAACCAGTGGATCTCTGAGCTGAGTGAGTGAGTGGAGGCGGGGCTCATTTGCATATTCATAGAACCGCGTATACTAAATGAGGCAAGGGTGTCGAGTTACATTCAAGCTATTTTAAGACATGAATAAATGTTTTTGTCAAGAAAAAAAACTTTAAATATGTCATTTTGGTGGTCAAAGATGAGTTTTAATGTATAAAATGATTGAGTACAGGGGGACTTTAAACTTCTTTTTGTGAAATGCTTGGCTTCCTTTAATGTTTTATATAATTCATTGGCATTCAGAAGTTTAACACAAGTCTCCAAATTCTTTTTGGGGCAATGTATGTATCCTAACTTTGAGATTTATGCTAATTAGATAAGGTCTCCTACATTGAGTGCTTTGTCTGCCGCCTCTTTGGCCTTCTTTGCAGCCTCCTCTGCAGCATTGACAGCGTCTGTGATGTTTTTGTACGCCTCTATCCCGGAGAGAGCGGTCTGCACACCAGAGCGCCCACTCACATTCTGCACAGCCCTGTCCGAGAGAAAAGATCACTGCTATTCATAACAACAAGGAGAAAAATAATGTGGAAGATATACGTGTATGAGGAAAACATGCCATTAAAACAAAAAATTACTGAGAAGGTGAGAAGGGGCGTGAAGGTTTGGCATGATTTATCTGATTGAGTGACACGGGAAGATTTGTGGTAACACGAGAGGCTCTCGCGATCTTACTCAGGTGTCAGTAAACTAATAAAACCTCTTACTCTTGGAGGTCTTTGGCCAGTTTGTACATGTTCTCTGCATGTTCTTCTGCCTGTTTCACAATTTTCTCTTTGGCTGCTGCTTGTGAGATAACTTGGACTTTATCCTTGAGTTCAGTCTTTGCATCGCTAAGTTGCGCAGCAAGCTGTTCGTACTCCTGTGGGAATATAAGAGGATGTGTCACCAGTGAAATCACTAAAACTGTAACTGATAAATAACTGATCTGTAACTGGAAGCAGTTAGAAAACGTTAATTCTAAAATATTATTAAATATAACTATTGATGAAAAAATATATATTGGTCAACAAGGCAGCGTACATTTGATCCAAAAACAGTAATACTATGAAATATTATTACAGTTTCAAATAACTTGTTTTCTATATTTTAATCTAATTTATTCCTGTGATCAAAGCTGATTTACAGCATCATTACTCCAGTCTTCAGTGTCACATGATCCTTCAGAAATCACTCTAATATGATGATTTGATGCTCAAGAAACATTTATGATTATTATCAGTGTTGAAAACAGTTGGGCACAATTTCTTTTTGCTGGATTCTTTAAATAATAGAAAGTTCAGAGGAACAGCATTTATCTGAAATAGAAAGCTATTGCACAATTATACACTACTATTCAAAAGTTTGGGGTCAGTAAGATGTTTTTTTTTTGTTTTTTAATAAGAAATGACAACTTAGCAAGGATGCATTAAATTGATCAAAAGTGACAGTAAAGGCATTTATAATGTTACAAAATATTCCATTTCAGATCAATTCTGTTCTTTTGAACTTTCTATTATAATTATTATATGTAGAAATAAAACAAAGACAAGGACAATCCATATTTTTTTGTAGTAGCATTGTGTTATTATGGGGGAAATGCACAATGCCAAAAAACATAGTTGTCAAAAAAAAAAAAAAAAAAAAAAAAACTTTACATAATAGTTTCTTAAAATGGTTTTTAATCTGTCATGTCTCATAATTCACCCAAACCCAAAGGTGTATGAGTGTGATTATAAATTAAGCTCCAAATCTCCTGTAGTTTCTTATACTAAGCTCATTTTTCTGAAAAGTTTACCGTTTTACTGTCGTTGAACATGTTCAGGAGGTCCTTGGTGTCTTTCAGCTGCTTCACTGCAAGAGCAGTCTGATTCCCAACAATGTTTCTCTCGCGCTCCAACTCTTTCACTCGTTTCTAAAACAACAAAAAAAGGAAAAACCTTAATGGACATCATTCCCTCTTGTTAGAACGTGTTTTGAGGATTGTAAAGCTCTTGATGCTTACCAGAATGTCTCTAAGGCCTTCACCATTGATGTCATTCTGATTGCTGGCTTTCTTCACCGTGTTATCCGCCTGTTTAAGCAAATCCTCCAACTCTTTCAGCTTGGCCTCGTAGTTGCTCAGCAGGCTATCAACACGCTTGGATGCCACTTCATTCTCATCGCATTGCTTTATGATGTTTTTAACATCCTCTAAAACTGTAATGAATACATAAAAGTCATACAACCACACATTCATGTAGCCAATGCCTATAATTATTAGCCTACATGTTAGCATAGGCAGCTTAGACGTTCACAGATAGTTTGATTAGGGAATAAATACATTTGTTTGCTTCCGCTTGCTCTTTCTTGGCTGCATCTTTCTGTGTCGTGAAGCTTCGCCTCTCCATATCCTTCACCATGTTCTCGGACTGTTCCAGAAGTTTGGCTAAATCCGCGGAGGGAAGAGCTGCTCCACTGCTGTTGGAGTCCATGAGCTGTTTCAGGAGCTCTGAACAACACATCGAGTATTTAGATTTCAAATACATCACATAAATGATTACTTCAAGTCCCCCTGTGGTGAAAATCCAGCTTTTAATGTTGTTTATATGTCTATGTGGTGTTTTTAAAATGCTTTAAGACAAACCATGTGTAAATTCATAAGTTGCCAGGATTGCTGAGTATTTTCTCCTTAAAACTGCAGTGAACCAAAGACAGTCTCAAAAACACGGTTTGAAATCGCTGGTGTTTCTGACGTCACAAACGACCTTGTAACCAATCAGATCAACGTGTGATCGTCAACCAGTGGATCTCTGAGCTGAGTGAGTGAGTGGAGGCGGGGCTCATTTGCATATTCATAGAACCGCGTATACTAAATGAGGCAAGGGTGTCGAGTTACATTCAATATGTTTTAAGGCATGAAGACATTTTTTTCAAGGAAAAAACATTTAAATATGTAATTTTGGTGGTCAAAGATGAGATTTAAGGGATATAATTATTGACTACAGGGGGACTCTAATCACTTTTGTGCACTTTTTTTTTTTTTAAATGTATATTCTAAACTTTCTATAAAAAATTCTTAACATTTAAATCTAAAAAAAGACAACTACCCATGTACCGCGGGGTGTTTAAAATAAAGGAGCTGTGTCTGGGAACATTCACAGGGTCAGTGCATTATGGGATTGTTTACAGGATCTGTTGGGACAGGCCTGCTACACAAGAGGCATCATTGATCCGGCATAAAAACTGCACACCTGGGGGGATTTTTCAACTCAGGACACAAAAGGAGCGCTGCTAATGCAGTTTGCCAAGTTAACTCCATGTAATCCGAGGTTTATTAACCGAACCGGTGTCCTCATTATCACACAGAATTACAGGTCAATTCTTATTAGCAAAAAATGTTTGCGTTTTTACCTTTTATTTTTGCAAGGAGGTTCTGTGCCTCAGTGTCCAGATCTTTTGCCCTTTGGTGGCTGTTTTCAGCATTAGCAAGAGCTTTCTGAGAGTCGTCTGATCGCTCCTGGACCTGGAGATATAAAGGCTTGGTGGATTATTTGATTCCCGCAGCAGGTGCAATGAAAATAGACAGATTTAGACACACTAAATCAATTCTAACTTGCTTAAAACGTAGTCTTCTACATGAAATCTGCATCTGTTTATCAGAGAAAAGTCTTCTAGTACCTGTTCTTTTAGATTGTCCATATCATCGCCCAGATTGATCACATCTTGTTCCAGTTGGTTAACTCTAGGCATCTGATTGTTGACTGTGAAGCTGAATGTATTCACCAGATTCTGAAAAAAAAAAGCATGAATATAAAGAGTTTGTGTTTATTAGCCTATTCCTGTTATTATTCATTTATGTTCTTTGAAACATATTGTTATATATCGTTCAGTTGATGCTTATTGAGTTTGGGAAAGGTTTTAAAACATTAAAGTGTAGTCATCATTCACTCCATTGTCTAAAAGGCCGTTAAAAAGGGACTTTACTGTTTAAAATAAGAAGAAATCCTTACTATTAAAAATACAAGAGATTACTGAAATTTGTCAATTCGCCTTTGGCTAAGCCCCGCCCCCCTTAGTTACTGTTGCTACGTCAGACAAACAAACTTCATCTGGGCTCTGGTATCAACATGGCTTATGCTGTGACAGCTCTTCCTGCTAAAATTAATCAAACTTTTATAAAGCAGCAAATAAAGTGTCCGATAGAAGTAGGCAAAAGGGTCTGCAATATACGTTCGAAGGCTATATTCACGACATACAGGTGAAACGTAAGGAACAACAAGGCATCCAAACAGAGGCAAAAGCAGACCGGTCACAGTCAACAAATGAACCACCGCATATCCTACTAATGGAGACGGAGGCTGGGACTAACAATATCAAGGAGCAACACTGTTCATGCAAAGCTGGAGGTCTCTATTTACTTCTATAATCGTTATTACAAAGCAAACGGACTACGCGAGTATAACGTTGTATTTATTAGCAGCGTGTGCTAGACGACACTTGTCAGGATTTGACTTCGGTTTTGGGAAGGGAAAAAAACGGACACCCCCCTCCAACCTCTCTGGGAAACGCGTATCTGTGTTACAAATGCCCCAGGCACAACGTTTAACCATATTTTTGATAAAACTACGACGGTAATAGCCTGCCGAGACCAAAAATATGAGACGCCTGTGTTAAAGTCAATGGAGCGCTGTGAAAAAGTGTCGGACCACTGTGGGAGCGCGTTCTTGGCTGCGCTGTGATTGGTCAATCTACATTCTAGGGTGTGGCTTAGCCAAAGGCGAATTGGGGCAGATTTATGAAATGCAAATATGTTACACTTGCACATTTGTTTTTTCATCAAGCTATTGGAATTTTCTGACTATCTGCTAGTTTGATTTCAAAATTCCCAAAAAGTCATAAAATGTAAGGAAAAAAATTTGCTTTTGCCTTAGTGGTTGAAACACGTTTCCAAGTACCGTGACTGTTCAGTCATGTCTGAAATTTTAGCTGAATCACCAAATTACCCACTGAATGTCCCAGACCACATGTTCTTTGTGATCAGTAGGTTGGATGTGGGTTCTGAGGTAAATGATAATCACTATGATCTTTGAGGCACCCACTTATTTGAACGCAATAACCTTTCCGAAAAGAACAGCAGTGTGTGTGTGATAGACTATTAACGTTAACATGATCACACTTGTTCTATGTGCAATTTGCCCTTACTAGGAAGAAAAAAAACGACAACTTTGTTCTGTCACAGGACAGAACATTGAGAAATAAAAAAAGGGAAACTACAGAAGGAGATGAAGGGATACCGTTGTGGCGGTTATGGCGTCTTCAAGCTTTCTCAGATGTTCTTTAGATGAAGGTCTGAGAGAGTCTGAATCCATTTGATCTTTGATTCTTCTCAGCTCAACATCAAGCTTTTCCAGATCGCTCAGCAATGTCTGAGCACAGTTATCACACTCTGAAAAATGACATACGGCATTACAAAAGAACAAAATACACAAAAGGAAATACTGAAAAGAATGTATTTCCAGTAATATCCTTTACCTTCACACTGTTCTTCTGTGTTTGTGTCTTGGAGCTCTAGAGAATTCCTGCACACTGTGAAAGAACAAGACGTGTTGAGAACGAAGATATTTACAACACACAATTTCAATATTAGTATAAACAACTATTGCGTTACTACATTACAAATCTACTGCAGACAAACATATCTTTTTTGTAGTACGGTAATGAGAAAATGAGTGTGTTTGAGGGTGTTCAATGTTTGTATTATTTTAAGTTGAAATGTGAAATTCACCCTTCAAATGCATATACTAAACAAATAAATCCACACCTCCAGTCTTAGAGTCGCACAAGTTTCCAGCACAGTTGCACAGACGACAGCGCCCACCGTAGACCAGAGGATCACCGTAATATCCTGAGGAACATCTGAGGAAACATGGCCAGAAATGCTTCATTACACCTACTTCTCATATATATATATATATATCAGCAGACCGATGTCACGAGGTGATCGTATGCGGTCGATTCACAATGTGTTGACTTCTCTGAACATCCAGCTTCAGTAGAAGAACCATGCTGGTTGCCCAGGTTTATACCAGTGTCTAATCGGCATAAAGCAGCCTGGAAAAGCTAGCCTTTTCAGCAGTGATGATGAGTAGTCATAGATGACATGAGTGAGTTTGAGTTTTTACATAAACACTTCATATGTAAAGCACACAGGGATATTTTATGTAAAGATCACTCACCGCTCACATCTTTCGCCTGTGTGACCCTCTTTACATAGACACTGGAATCTGCCGCGTGTTTCAGAGCAGCTCACTGCAAAACTGCAGAAAGATATGCCACATCATAAATGCATCATATCATTACGTAAAATGTCAATAAAAAGATTTACAACATGGCACAATATCCTTTAAAACTGTCAGGAAACTTAAAGAGGACCTATTATGCCCTTTACAAAGTCTTGATGTTGTTTTGGGGCTCTACTAGGACAGGTTTCATGCTTGAATGTTAAAAAATCAAATTATTTCCCTCATATTCTCCATTGTTGCGGCTCCTCTCTTCCCAGTCTGTCAGTAACGCTCTGTTTAGTTCCTGTCTCTATGAAGCCCCTCCTTCAGAAAAGCACACTGTGCTCTGATTGGTCGGTTGGATCGGTGTGTTGTCATCTGTCATGCGCTTCGAGTGTGTTTGGGAAATGTCCCGACCCTTACCATAACCGCCAGTTTCAACACACTACTAACTAACTCAACCAGGCCCCGCCCCTTTATTCTGCGTATTAATTATTATAATGAGGAATATTGTGACGCGTTCGTTCCCGGAAGAAACTCAAGACTACAATGGAGGCGTTTCAGGGAGTTCAGAAACACTGACACTGATATAGAGAATAACTCCCGCTGGAGGGACTTTGCAGAGCTTTTTTTTCATACTCGAACAGCAAAAAAATTACACACTAAAAAGCAAAATAGGTCCTCTTTAATGAACAACAATTTGTTGAACTTCATTATAAAAATCTATTTGCACATGTCTGTGTTACTCATAAAACGCTATAGTTAAGGTTGGTTAAATTTGTATTTCTATGAGTACCATTTTGTCAAGAAAAAAAGTCAATATGTTGATAAATTGTCCGTAAATATGACATTTTTGAGAGACCATAAGTTGACTTCATAAACTGATGTCGATTCCCTAAAATGGTTATGTTTTTTGAAGTTTGAATTCTCCAAGATGGCTGAACTAATTTCAAGTTGTCAAACTTAGTTACAAATACTCGCAATTTCTGGTTAACAATTCAAAGAATGTATGTAATCTACCCAAAAATGATGAAGTACTCTACTTGCAAGTTTTAAGGCAGGTTTTCTAAGTAAACTAAACTTACATTGTACTTTTCCCCTTACACAGGGGAACTTACTTGTTGGCTCCATTGCTGAGAGGACATTGGCACTCCCTGCATTTCCTCTGAGCTGCATTAGAGTAATATCCCTCTCTACAGCGCTCACAGCGCTCGCCCGCAGTGTCATCCTGGCAGTTCTGTTCAACAGAGCGTTTGGGTTAAAGGTAGATGTGCACAGGCTAACAAAGCACATTATTGCAGGTCAGTGCAGCACTCACTAGACATCGGCCGGTGGTCTGCTCACACTCGTTCGAGTGGCCGTTGCAGGAGCAGGGAACACAGCGAGCAAACTGACCTCTTCCGTCCAGATAGTGACCAGCTGCACATCTCTGATAGGAGACAAACACACATGCACTGTAGAACAAGGAGTGTCGGAAAAAGAAATAAAAAGCTCGCACTTTATTTTAAGCTGTCATTGTTACAGTGTAATTATATATTTAAGTGCTAAGTTGTATTAATTAACTACATGTACTTACTATAGGGTTAGTTGCATGTAATGCGTAATTTACTGTTTTTACTATGGCAAGTACATGTAACGTGTGTAACAAGGACACTGTAAAATAAATGGTTACCAATACAAATGATCCCTTTTTAAAGCTTTTTATTGCGGGTAAAACAATACACAAAAGAAAAAAAAGGGAAAAATTAGGCAAATGAGAAACGGTATCTTAAAGATTGTAGACTCAAAGCAGAGACGTGTTCCTTTTAACTCACATTTTACTAATGTCATTCAGCATTATCGTTCTTTTTTTTTAAGTGGACATTGTTATAGTGCTTCACAAAAGCAATATATAGAGTTGGTGAAAAAGTCTCACCAAGTTATCTTTAATGACACATGGATCATTTTCAATTTACAAGTTTTTGCTTTACAGGTTAAACAAAGCAAAACTCAAGGGAAACGCCATACCCCTGCTTGCGAATCACTACATTATAAAACATTAATAAAACAAGTGTAATCTGTTAACAAATGCCGTTCAGAATTGCAAGATACAAAAACTCACAGTTGTGAGGAAAAAAGGCAGAATTGCAAGAAAAAAGGCGCAATTATCTTTTCAGTGGCTTTTTATCTCACGGTTCTGACCTTTTTTGCGAGTTACAAAGTCAGAATTGCGAGATATAAACTATTTTCTGTCAGAAAATTCTGAAATTCTGAGAAAGTCTTTTTTCCCTTCAGAACTGGGCTTTATAAGTCCAAATTTCAAGTTTATATCTCACAATTCAGAGGAAATAAGTCAGAATTGCGAGATATAAACTTGTAATTGCGGGAAAAAAGTAAGAATTGCGAGAAATAAGTTAGAATTGCGAGAAAAAAAGAATTACAAGCGGGGAAAAAGTCAGAAAAAAGGCACAATTATATTTTAAATAGTTTTATTCCGTGGCTTTTTATCTCACAGTTCTGACTATTTTCTCGCAATTTTGTGTTATAAACTCGCAATTGCTAAGTTTCAAAGTCAGAATTGCGAGATTTTAATTGGCTTGACTTTATAACAAGTTTTTTTCACAATTCAGTGAAAAGAAGTGAGAATTGCAAGATAAAATCGCAATTGTGAATATAAAAGCTAGAATTGCGAGAAAAAAGTGAGATAAAAAGCCGCAATTATCTTTTAAATACATTCAGCAACGTCTACAACTATAACATATTGCTTTAGTAACTCTTGAAATATCTCTTTACTATCCAAATACAATTTACTCTGAAATAAATGTCACGGGCTATAAAAGTTCAGAGTATAATTTGAGTAAAAATGTGGATATATTTCATGTCATGACTTTGGTTCTCTGAAATTCTAAATTGAAGAGTAGCAAGTATCGCTCATGTAATGAGTACTTCACACCCCTGGATACACTATAGAAATTAAACACATCTATCCTGGTAATTATGAAAGCTGAAGCGAAATTTTGGACAAAAACTAATTTCAATGGCTTGTTACATACATAAAAAGCAATACTGCAATAGAATAATATTCCTTTTTACCTGTGCATCCTCCACTGAGGGAAACTGGACCCGCTGTGTGTCATGGATGGAAGGGTATTGGACTCGCTGAGCATCATGTAATGCTGGATACTGAACTCTTTGAGTCCACTCTGCCTGTTCTCTCTGAGGACGGTCTGGGGTCCTGCGTTCGGGTCGGGGCCCTCCAGACCCCAGCGCTAGCAGGGCCGCGAACACAACGGCCCTCAGTGCTGCACTCCTCCATGCTGTCGACTCTGACATTCCTGTCCAGCTGATGCGTGTGTAATAACTCGTATCGCTCTCAGGTACGGTCTTCTTAAAGAGGAGTAAAACGCCCCAGACAAACTCTCATACGTGAATCAGTCGTGGACACGCTGCCGCAAATGAACCAGGAAATTGAGTCACACTTAGGTATGTGAGTGAGGAGAGATGTGTACTGTACTCAACACCTGGAGAAATAACTGAGCTACACACATTCACTCAAAAGTAAACAAGACACGAACTAAAAGACCCAGAAAAAACTTCATCAGTAGTCTACATGGGATAGTTGTTGTGGTATTCATTTATTATTAATATCTTCTCTCAAGAACCTCTTATGTTTACTATTGTGTTGCTATTTCACTATTTCTTCACTGTCTGTGTTTGTAACTATGACAAACCGTGAGTGTTTAAGACACAGCTCCACATTTATCAGAATGACTCACAGCAACAGTTTGTTTTGTCAGCTCTTCCACACCCAGTCTAGAGAAGTCCGCACACGCCCCGTACCTGTGAGAAAACATGCCCTCCGGTCACAGACTTCACAGGTCTTCCCTTGCCTTTATAGGCATGTCCCGAAAACAAAATGTATTTAGGGTGCGGTGGGAAGGATATGGCTAAAGGATTCTGGAAATGGAAAAGAGTTTTATTCTTTAACAATCCAGCTAAATAAATAAAAAAAACACATTCTGCTGTGTTGCAAAGTCAATTTAAAGCATATCGAAATGGGATTGTTCCACTCATAAAAAAAATAAATAAAAAAAATAAAATAAAAAAATATGTGTGTGGAATGATATATATATTTTATCTTCAAAATTACATGAATTAATCATGTTAAACAACTTGTAGGTATTTTATTCTCTAAAAAAAAAAAAAATGGGTAAAAATAAGATTCATGTGTGGATTCATGTCTAAAAACATTATTCATATCATGACACAAATGACGAGGTGAATCCTTCCTGAAGGCAGTATAGCAAAGTTTAAATTATTAGTCCCATTTTAAGGCTGTATTAAACATGTATTTAAAATTAAACATGTATCTGTTGCACAATTATGTTGTTATGAAAAAAAAAATTACAAGCATTTGCTGTTATTTAGATGTGATACGGGCAGTTTTAGGGGAAGGGGTTGGTTTAAGATATGCAATACATTACAATGGGGTTGTAATTATTGAGTTTATTAAAGAAAAGTGGATTATTTCATAAAATCCAGATTTCTTTTATTGTAAGTATACACAATTTGAGGCCAGGACCTCATTGCTTATGTTACTACTTTCTTCTAACTTGACTGTACATCCATTTGAGTGTATTTGGGTAAATGTTGTACTCGATATCTTAAACTGAGAGGTGATATTAGTGCTCTTGGGTGTGATTGGGCATGTCAGTACAGCGGACCATAATTACCAAACCTCACTCTGCAATTTCATACACAAAAATTCAATGTGTTTTGATCTCTTATCACTCCATTTACCATTCCCATTATATACAAAAAAATATTCAGACATATCTTTCAGGTAATAAGTATTAGCTGGTTTATAGATAATGTAAAATAGCGTAACCACAGGCCCTTAAAGCAACACCATGTGATTTTTCCTCAGCGGTCGCCCTACAGGTTGGAAGCAGAATTGTCCATTACTGCTGTCGTAAATAATTTAGCCTTCCGCAGCCGACTGTCGCACGCGCACGCTCGCTGTTTATCCAGCACCGGCTTTGGAATCAACAATGGCAGACATCCCAACCTGCAAGAAGTCATTTCAGACAGGGAGGTATATCTTGGTGACTGGATTGTTGACGTTGGGGGGCGGCTGGTGGCGGGTTGACTAGCTTTCGTGAGACACACTCGCAAGGTCTCTCGCTCTCTCTCTCTCTGCCGTCCGCGCGCTATGTATGTTATGCGCGCAGTATGTTCTGTCTCGCATGCGCGCTCTAGATTCCGGCAGATCTGAACTAATTTGCGGGCATCAGGGAGACGCAGGAGACTCCCGGGAGACTTGGGATGTCTGCAATGGCCACAGACAATTTGAGGAAGTGGTGGGGGAAGTGACGTATGCCGTAAAGCAGTCGAATTTTGTAGTTCTTTTTGTGCACGGGTTCCTACCCGAAACCCGAAGTTACATAGTGCCAGTAAAAGCGATACAGACCACGTCAGGCTATGGCAGACGTGTCATTTAACTTATTTTAAGTCGATGTACCATCACAAGGGTCTTGGAAATATATTATGAAGGTTGAAAAACTACATAGTGTTACTTTAAAATCTCTGAAATATCTTCAATAGCAATACAAATGTATACATTTCAGTTGTGGAAGTCTTAAAATTGGGAAAAGAATGTAACAAGATGCTTGTAATAAAAATATTTGACTTATGGGTTACCACTAGCCTGGTTAAAACCAGACCATTCTCAGTTGTAACTGAGTTATGGTCTGGCAAAGCTTCATAGACAAATCATTTCCAAAGGGGCGTCACCAACGGACGTAGCTCAAATGCCTCTGGGCACAATTGGATAGACCTAAAACCAATCAGAGCGATGAAGGAGATGACGTATGCAGAGCGGCGTTCCTCTGTTATAGAACAACTTAGTTTGAATAAATGGGCAGACACTGATTAGCTACTTGCTCTACGTTTATTTAAAATTAACAGCAAGACAACTAGAAGTGAATGTGCTTTCCATTAAATAAATAACACACCGTAAACAAAACCTTAACAAAAAAAACTTTGCAAGTTAGACTATTACAAAAAAAGCTGTGCACACAGCCAAGCAAAATGGGGTCTTGCCGGTCTTGCGCACCGAACGCACCATTTTTGCCCCGCGCACCTTCGCTCTCGTGCGGACGCGTCGAGTATAAACAAGGCTTTACTCCGTGTCAGTGAATCGGTAAAGGTGCACAGACCTCTCCCGAATCATCTCCAGCACTCAGCCTCCGATCACACCACTAACTCCGCCTCCGTTTCCCTCGTAAGCTGATATTAGTATTTAAACATTCTCTATGATAAAAAATGTTTGTGAAAAAAATATTTTAATAACATGGTTTTGGCGGTTATAGAGTTCTAATGACGGTGTTCAATTATAACCGTCACACCCCTAGTTCCACGGCGCCATCCATCTTTGTAAATGAACAAAATCTGCTTCACCGTCGCTGTGCTGTCGTCATCGTGTAAAGCCCGCCCCAGCGTTTCTGATTGGTGCCGCGATTTCGACGGATTAGAAATGGGCTTGAATGAGCTCTTTGCCAGACTAACTTGCAGAGCAAATCTAAATTTGCCGGAAGTTGTCTGGGTTTTCCCAGGCTAGGTTACCACAGAAATGTGAGCGCTAACTACTGTACCTTTATGGGTGCCACAGATACAGCAAACTGATCCGCTGCAGTGTGTAAGAAGGTTGATAAATGCTGCCTCCGCAGGGTACATTGGGTAGATGCACTCCCATGGCATAACAAGGTTGTGGTGATGAGCATTGTATCCGATGACAGATATGACTGTTGTGATCTCGTCACTGCAACTTAATTTCTGCACTCTCACGAATGCTTTTATCATAACTAACAGTTCAAACACGATGTAAATAAGAGTAGACAGCATCATTGATTATAACGGGAGTTTTGGCGAGAGTCCATTGATAAACTCGTGTCATTGATAAACTCGTGCTGTTTGATTGACAGCTCCAGCGATTGTAAAAGGAGCGCCCTTTGATCGCTTTCTGTATATAATTTAATCACAGTTATAATAGATTATTTTCATGCTACTAAGAGAAACAATGTGAAGCTGATCGTTTAGTCACTGGCTTGATTTACTGACGCATAAACAGCAATACATGGTTTTGAGACATTGTATGACTTGTACATGAATCATAACAGAAATCAGCGTTGTGATCATAGATTAGGCATTAGGCACAGATTAGGTAACTTACATTTTGTGGCATTACTGCCAGGTCCATATTTTACAGTAAAAGTCTGTTTGGAAAGCTTATGCCAAAATGCGACTGATTTACCAAAGAATCCACAATGAAATGCACAGATTAATTCAAACTAATAATACTGAGACATTCCCACAGTTAAAATCAAATAACCACTTTCCTGACAGTAGGATCCTTTGGAAGGTAATGTCCAGTGGTCCTGTTTCTTTCTTTTCTCCATCTCACAAACGTGTCAGTGGGCGGGGCCAAAGATGCGATGATGTAGAAGTAGGCGCACTATTACATCATAATGTGACAGAATTCCAAACGAGGTTTTCTGAGCTTGGATTCAATAAAAGCTATTTTTGGACTCACAAGGAAGTTTTGAAAAAAAACAGTAAAATGACCTTTTACATGTCAAAAGTTCATGACGTTTACATTCTCAATACATGACCCCTTTAAGTTCTTGTTACGCCTTGGCAAGGAAGAGGAGACGCGAGATCCAGATGCAGCATAGTTTATTCAAAAGACACAAACACAGAAAATCTAAACAGCGATCACCACAAAGTGCTCTTGCAAACTCACACCAGCGTTGACTCCAGTCCAGCACAGGTACCGCTTCTCCTCTCCCTTTCCCCGTAGCAGAGGTGGAAGGAGAACTGAAAACAACTGACTCGAGTAAAGTACAATTACTTTCCAAACTAAATGTAGTGTGAGTACAGTAAAAAGTACTTGTCCAAGAAACTGAGTAAGAGTTAAAGAGCAGCTTATTTACAAGTACTCGTGAGTGCTGAGCTACGGATTCTACCCAGTTATAATAAACACTGTACACTGCTATTTAACACATGTTGAAAACACTATACATGCTGTTGTCACGGTGTTGTGCGGGTAGAAGAAGATGGCTGAGTCAAAAGCTCCAAATCAAACAGTTTTACTGATCAAACTCACAGGTACAGACAGGCAGGCAGAATGACGGGCAGAAACACACACTAAACACATCCATATAACTTTAACAACCGACCAGGACAGACTGAACAGAAGCAAACTAAATACAAGCATGAATCAAACATAACAAGGTGAAAACAGGTGACACTGATGATGATAACGAGGGACAGGC